ATAGATAGATAGATAGATAGATAGATAGATAGATAGATAGATAGATAGAGACTGACAGACAGACAGGCAGACAGACAGACAGACATGCATACAGGTTTAAATTAGTTGATTCAGCCTTAAGGCAGCTCTATCAACCAAGTTAAGTCCAGTGGGACTTACCCTCTATTTCGTTGGGTTCATATGAAATTCTTGCCCAAGATTAGCATAAGTATGATTTGAACAAATAACCCAACTTAATGAATTCACACAGTGCAAAGAACCATAAAATAACCAGAAGGGTTGGGTTCATCCAACTCAACCTCAGTATGGTTGTATGACTCAGTATGTGATGAAAACATAGCCATTGTGTATAGTAGCCTTTTCCAGCTTGTATCCTTAAGATGTATTTACACTACAATTCCCAGAATTCCCAGTCAGCATGACCCTATGGTTGAATATTCTGAATAACAGATGAGGTAGGCTAGAATAGCCAACATTATTTATTATCCAAGTGGTCCTAATTATAGCTGTTCTGCTTTTTCATTTATTTGTAAAAAAAAAATTATAAAAGTAAATCACAGATGTGTATTGGTACATTTAATCTAAGAATATACAGTTATTTAACTCTAAATATAAATAATGAGAGATTCCAAAACAGAATGCATGATGAGTATATTTGTTTTTCAGAATGGCAAGATGATAGATGTTGTAAGAGGAGCAAATGGGCCCCTTCTAACTAGAAAAGTCATAGAACTAATTGAACTAGAAAGAAAAATTGTGGCCGGAGAAGTGCAAAGGTCAGAGGTAACTCTTCTGTTCTTACTGTGGTTGTTCTATTTTATACACACACACGCACACACACACACATAGATACACACACATACATACATACATGGTTTTAAAAAATATATTTATGTGTCACATTTTGTTTTATTACTCATAACAGTTTCCCTTCCCACAGAAGCATTTGTTTTCATTGAATGGAATTGCTGCCCGTCTTTTTATCCTTATCTCATATTCTTTTATTGCTTTCCTATTAGCATATTTCTCTGTCACAAATCACTTTGGAAATGAATGGGCCTTTCATTAGAAGAATGTGCCCTCCCTCCCCACCTATTCTGCACCAATGTCAGATACAATTAAAGCACACTTTTTTAATTGAATGAAAGATATTGGCAATGAAGGCAATTTACAGATTGCTTGAGAATAGTACAATAGTACTATTAGTACTAGTACTAGTGTAGTTCCAATTTAGATAGATCCCCTATTTGTGGCGCTTAAAGGAGAATATTCCAATGTATTCTGACCAAAGGCCATCAGTTTGTGTGTAGTTCCATTTAAATTAACAATAGCAGGCTAAGGTTACAATTAAAGATAATGTCTCTCTGGATAACAACACAGAAACATCCATAGCAAGTCATCTGCCATTGTCTTCTTCCAGGATGTTTGTAAGTTTCATTTTACTTCCCAATTTAGCCTATGAGACAAGTCAGAGATTCCCTGCTGCTTCCTCATACAACTACTAACCGGTTCTTAGCTTTTTCAAGATGAGCAGAAGTCAGCAGACAAGTTTACAATTAGCACAATTCTAATAACATTAAATACATTCAGATTCTTCAGAAAGCGCAGGATCTTGCTAGGCATATTTTGCAAGGAGTTGCTCTCGGTTTAATGAAGCTTACTGTTAGTACCTCTGTCCCTGCTCTCCCCAGTATAGTTAATAGCATTTGTTGGAACTTTCCATTAGATTGTGGAAAGAGAGAAGCTCCCAGGCAGCTCTTATCTGATCTAGTTTTCATCTCTATCTTTTTTCAGTTTGAAAACATTCTTCGTTGATCCTCCTATATCAAATATCCTTTGGTCCTAAATTTGATAACATTTAAATTGCTGTTGAGTTGCGTATAATTTATGAGTTGTTTGAAACTGTGAGAAGGCAGGGAGAAGTGAGGGCCTCAAACGAACCATGTTTGCTAGGGGAGAGC